TGGTTGGCGGACCACTGGTGGTCCATGAGGTCCGAAAGGTTGCTGACCGCTGGGCTAGAGTATAATGCTCCATAGGCAAACAGGTTTTAGGAGACGATATTGCATATCTTTTTTAAAAAAAATATTTTTATTGATTCAGAGAGGAAGAGAGAGGGAGAGAGAGATAGAAACATCAATAATGAGAGAGAATCATTGATTGACTGCCTCCTGCACGCCCCCTACTCGGGATCGAGCCCACAACCAGGCATATGCCCTTGACCAGAATTGAACCTGGGACCCTTCAGTCCACAGGCCGACATTGTACCCCTTGAGCCAAACCAGCTAGGGCATATTGCATATCTTAAGAGCATTTCTCTTGCTATGGCCTTTTGTCTTTCCCCTTTGTGTCTATAGTCCATGGGCTTTCTCTTTTTCAGCGTCCTTGTGCCTAGTTTCCATGCCATCTTGTCTATATTTCCAGAGCTCCTCACCCCAGGAACCAAAAGACCCAACTCATTTGCCATCTGTACTACTTCTCTGATCTTCCATAGCTCCGAAACACAATGCAGGGCTTCTTCTCACTCAACTCTTTCCGGGTTTGTTCTGCAGCTGTGGAGTTTGAATGTTAGTGTTTAAACAAGCTGGTATTACACAGGAAATGGCCACCTCCACAGGCCCCTGCAGGCTTGTAACATGGGGTCATTGTACTTGATATTAATCACCAGTCAGCCTGTTCCCCCAGTAAAAAAAAAAAAAAAAAAAAAAAAAAAAAGAAGGGGTGTGTGAGGGCTCAGTCTTCCTTAGACTTGCCAGAGGATGGCCTGAGCCTTGGTTAGGCCTTAGTACTCCACTCTCCATACTGTCTGCCCCCTCAGTCACGCCCTGTATGGAGCTTGCAGAAAAGGTCCCACCCGACCTCTTCCCTATAAAGCTGGCAGAGCTGCCTTTTGTTCTGAGTTCTAGGAAGGAGATAGATTGTTGTGGTATAACTTCCCTCACATATCTCATGCCTTCATCTTTCAGAGCATGTTGTAGTCGAATAACATCTTACATGAGAAAACGCCAAAATTGTAGAAACACAGAAATCCGCTGGTCCACCTGAGACCAGGGCTTCTCAGTTCCTTGGACTGAAGCTACTTTTCTTATGTTGTTTGCAAAACTAACTCCAGCCTGAAGGGTTAATCTGAGTCCCCAAGTCAATATCCCCCAAACAACCAGCCAAGAGTGTGTGTTGGTTCATTTCTGTGAAATGTGTTTCCCCAGTCACCTGGGCTGGCCTGGGCTGCATTGTATCGGCCAGCAGCTGCACTGCACTCAAACTGACAGCTACATTAAACCTTGGAATTCTGAGCAATAAAAAGTAAATTAACTCTTATTTTTTTCCTTTCCTGGTGGAGTAAGTGAATGCATGTCTGTGGAGAAGTGAGTGAGCCTTGGTCCTGAGTGCGTACCTCTAACTAGCCACTGCTGGTCTGTCCCAAGCTAGGATCTGGTGTCCAGCCAGGGGTCTGCTTTCCTGGTGTGTGGTGTGTTCTGTGAGGTTGGGCCACTGGGTCACCCTACAACTGCTGATCCCTGCTCACTAATCACATCACAGCTGCTGAAGGCTCCCTTGCCACCATTCTGAGAGCCATAAACGGACTCACTCATTGGACTCAGTTTCATACTCTCTGTCTGCTAGGTGAAGAATGCACCCTAGCTTTAGTGGGATTTTGTGGGCTCTGGGAGCTTCCCCAAAATATGAATGGGGACCAGAACAAGCCAGAGGGACTTGCCTGAGCCCATAGCACTCTAGAGGGTTCATTTAGAACCAAAGTTGGTTTGCAATTGACTGGAAAACCTTTTGATGTGTCATTTCCAAAGCATTTCTAAAAGATTGGGAGCTGTTTAAAGCTCCTCAGAGCCACCAGAATTTTACTTTGGGCTCAGCCCAGGCCAACCTTGAATCCTTAGACTCCAAGGGCTGCTGTGGGGTGAAGGTTGGAAGGCACTCCTAACTGGGATAAGGAACTAGAGCAGGAAAAAGCTAAGCTTTTCCCCTTCTACTCAGGAAACCCTGTGTTCACCCACGGAACTGACCTCTCAGCCCGGAGGCCTGATTGGGGTAAGCTGAGGTGATGATATTCCCCAGGTTCCAGGAATTACCTCATCCTTTTGCAAATATCTTAACTTTGGGGTTTAGGCATCTCACCTCTTCCTTTGAGTGTTAGTTTCCTAACACTCCCCTCTTCCCTGCCCTCTGTGGAGAGTCACCATATGGCCCATGGGTGCCTAGTTAGTTGTGTTCTTGTCTGTGGTGCCACTTTATATTTCTGAGTTGGGGACTCAGGACACACCCTATGTCTTCTGGCACCAGCTGCTGTCTTACACATCAACACTGTGGTAGGAGCTCTCATCCACTTCATTTTTGCAGGGAGTCTTAAGATTTTGGCACAAGGTGGGTGGGTAGTAATGGGCAGAGGGCAGATGTGGGCAGGGGTCCCTTGTGGTGGCCAGCAATCTCTGGGAGGAGTCAGTTTTGGTTTATCTGAGCCGTAGGGGACCGGGGAGCATGGTAATGAGAACCACATGGTATCACATATTTCTTCTCTTGGATCCAAGATGGTAGGGGTAAGAGGATAAGAGAGGGATGTGGGGCCTCCCACTGTGGCAGCCATGGGTAATTTTCTGCTGCCTCTCCCTGGCTGGGGATGCTGCTGCCCACACCTCCCACCCCCAACTACATCCTGAAGCAGCCTTGACCTGCACAGCACCAACCAAGGCCCCCAAGCCAAGAATTCAGCTGGGAGACTTTTCACCTTCTTCCTTCTCACTGTCGTCTTTCCTGTTTATTTTCCAAATTGCTGCTCTGCAGCCGAGCAATGCCTGTTGGCCAGAGCTCACCAGCGCTGTGGGATCAGACTCAGGCAGTGGGCTCAAGTGGCCAGCAGGGCACTGGGGGAGGAAGCAGGGAGCTGGAAGAGCTTCCCTGTGCGTCTCCCATGGGCAGCGCTAACCTCAGAGGCGGCCCTGAGCAGCCCTATCACATCCGGTGCTTGTCTCTGCAGCCGGGACTGGAGGATAAACTATCAGAGCTGTGGGGCAGTGTATCATTCCTCTTATTATTTTCTTCTCTGCAGATGGGGTCGTGGAAAGTTCAGTTCCTTTTAACCCTCGAAGTTCTGTTTATTCTACAGCTGGTAGCCTGAATGCGCGTTTCCCATTACATCACAAAGGGGCTCAGGCAGATCTCTGCACAGAAACGTGTTGCAACTGTTTATTTTTTTCCATATTTAAACATTTCTGACAGCCAAACCCAGCTGAGCCAAAAGATGGAGCTTTGTGAATGAGTCTGGTTGTTGGTGTCTGTGCAGAGAGAGGCTTTAAAAACCCTTGTCCCTCCGGTGATTCTTCCCAAACATGTTCTTTTTCCTGGGCAAAGCCTGTGAAGCGAGTTACTTCTGCTGTACACGTGTGTTGATTATGTGCCGTTGTGTGATTAATGGGGCTGTGTTCCGCCTGGTTCCCAGGACACTCTTGAAAACAAGATGTTTCATTTCATTGCCTTTTCCTAGTGCAGTGATTACAGTAAATAAACCAGTTCAGGCTCCTTCCACCTGGATCCAGTCAGGGAGTCCCCACACCTCTGCTCCACTTTCTCTTCCAGCATCACCTTCAATAGCATGTCCCTTGAATGCCCTCCTTTCTGCCATCCCCCCAAGTTCCTAGCCTCCAGGAGCAACAAATTGCTTAGGTCTGAAGCCCCTCCTTAGCAGATTTGGCTCATGCGCAGTTACTCGTCTGGGAAGATTCTAGGATGTATCTCATTCATATACCTCTTTTTGCTTCTTGCCTCTTGTCACTCCACCTCTTGAACCAAATTGTAAAGCTTTTTCTTTGTAATTCTTTTATGGGTCTCACTCCTTTTGGAGTACAATTTAGCATTCATTAGGGTACTTGCCTCTTCCAGCCTCCCTGGTTAGGTTGTCCTCTGGGGAAGAAACCTAAGTCTGTGGACTTGGCAGGCCCTGGATCTGGCCATTTTGACTATTTGAGCTTGTCTTGGCTTGTCAAAAGAAAGTTGTAAGGATCCTTAGCTCCCATCAAAAGAGGAACCTGAACCACAGGAGATTTTTGGCAGTTGATGGTGACAGAGAATTGAACCTTTTTATAATTCTGCCCTGGAGTTTGAACAGGAGAGAACCAGATTTTGCATTTTCAAGATTTATTCTCAGGTTCACCCAGGACCTGATGATATGCAATTAGGATGACCATCCATTCCAGTCTGCCCAGGACTGAGGTGTTTCTGGGAATGTGGGGCTTTAAATGCTAACACTAGGATAGTTCCAGGCAAACCATAATATTGATTACCCTATGTCTAATTTTCTACAATCGAGAGGAAGGAGAGGGAATAGGATGGCCAAGATAGTGCTGATACGGTTCAGCTGCTGAAATGAATGGGAAGCTTGGCAGGCCAGGAATGAGGTTTTTGTTGGATGTGTATTTAATTGTTTTTCTGCTTATATATAGGAAGAGATTTCTAAAGCATTATAAGACGGGTAAAAGCCCACAAACACACGAATTCCCTGATGTGACTAGCCCCTCTGGCTGTGCAGGAGGAGGGAAGATTGGAGCTCTGTAGCTGTCTGTATGGCATATACTTGGCTGGACAGGAGTGGGGGAATTCTGGGAGCTGCCTCAGGCACTGGGTGTCCAGAGTGTTTGAGTAAGTGTCTTAGGCACACTGTCTGGAAAGGTGACAGGACCTGCATTAGGCAACTGATTCTCTAAATTCTTCTCTCTCTCTGGTTAGGATTAAAAACTCCCCCTAATCAATTTTAACTTTACACGGATGGACACACATTCACCAGATTGCTGCCAAGGGTGCAATTTTGTATCCTAGTTTTTTGGGTAAGATTTTCTGGCAGATGCCAGTCATAGACAACATTTGCCATAGGTACTTCCCTATTCACAAGTGCGTAGAATACTTGAACTGGTCCCTCTTTAGAGCTGCTCTTCTTTTCTTACCTTATTTCTCACAGGGTTGCTGTGGATGTGTGGTCGATGCTGGCTGATTTCTGTAACATATTGACTGCGGTGAATCAGTCTGAGGTGCCACTGTACAAGGACCCTGACGATGACCTCACCCTTCTTATTCTGGAAGAGGATCGGCTTCTCTCGGGCTTTGTCCCCTTGCTGGCTGCCCCTCAGGATCCCTGCTACGTGGAGAAAACCTCGGATAAGGTCAGCCCCAGGCCAAACATCACTCCCCATTCACCCTTCCTCTTAATTCTCCAGACTTTTTTATTCTTGGGAAGTTTTCTGTGCAAACGGAACATGATTAAGTCATTGAGAAGGGTGTTAAGGGAAAATATCGACCTTTTAGCCGCTGACATCCAGCTCTGTGTCCTGAAGAAAAAAAAGCCCTCTCGACTTCCTTTGGTGTGTGTGTGTGCTTGCTGGCATGTTGTATATACGATCATTTCCTCACTTGTTTAAATAGTCCAGCTTGTGTTGGCAGTGCTCTCACTCAACTCCAAATGGTTTGCATCATGCTTAAAGCACCCTCCTTCCTCCCCCCTTCCTCCTTCCCCCCAGCCACAAAACTCTGCACTAGGAAAACAGCCAGGGCTTTTTCCCTTTTCTAAGGAGGGGAGTGATAAATAGGTGACTAGAGAGAAGCAGACACCATGTGTTAACTTACAAAAAAAACTTTTAGGAATATGAAGCATTCCCCATTCGTTGCCTGGTTTCTATTTTTCTTCCTCTGAGGACTGATTTAACCTGAACTTTTTTCTTGTCTGTCTGTTTATAGAAAACAAAGTCCATTGCTGTTGCCCTGGTGGGGACTGTGGAACTTAGTCTCTGTTTAACAGTTGTGTCTTTGGCCAGGTGCAGAGAGTAAGGCAGTACATCTTGCTTTACATTCCCATGTAATAGTTGCTAGACTGGAGAAGTAGCACCCACAGACCCTAGGAGCAGAGTCTCCTGTGCTGTGCAGGAGAACCCTGTGACTGAGCTCTCTGTGGAGTTGTTAGCATTGTTTCCTGGGAGAGAGGCCTTTGGGGAAGAGTCCACAAATGGCTCCTCAGAAAGAAGTCTTTTGACTTAGATGAAGTATGTATAGAGATGTGGGTAGATTTTTTTTTTAAGACAGTAAAAACTAAATTCCAGACAAATATAAGATATTTTATATTGAATATAAATTACAAATATAAGATATTACAAATATAAGATATTTTATATTGAATATAAAAAATTTTAAACTTGTTGTTAGTAAAAAAAAACAGTATAAGTTCCTTGTAGACAAGTAAAAAGAACATTTATTTACAACCCCTCTACCCAGAGGTTACATCACTGTTATTTTTGCTGATCATACATAATCATACTTGACTAATAATATACACATACGCTTTTTAAAAAATAAAACGGGGGGGTTCATATTATACATACTATTTGTAATCTTTTTTTTTTACTTAATATTTTTAATGTATTTTTATATGGAATCATTTATATAATCCCTTAATATTCTTTTATATGCCAATTATTTCTTTAACCCATTTTTGCTTCATTGAACCAAAGGATTGTTCCCAATTTGTGCACTATCAATAGTGAAGTAATTCCTTATAGCAGAATTTTTTATATATATTCCCTTTGGTTAAATTTCTGTAAGTAGATGAAAGTTCTAGACATTGGCATACCAAAAGTCCATATTCTTTGGATGCATTTAATGGCTAGTAGATTTTGGGAATGTGAAAGCAAAAGAAATATTTATTTTATGCTTTTCCAATGAAAAGTTGGAATGAAATCTTGCTCTTCTAGTTTCAGAAGGGAATAAGAATAGGGAGTTGTAGTACGTGAGACTGAGGACAGCTAACACAATGTTTACACTTTGTAAAAGATGTTCAGTTAGAAGAGAAACTGGAAAACCCTGGCTTGAGTCAGGGGATCCTGGTACTATTCTTATGTGATCACAAGGTGGTCTTGTCTTCAAGGATGCTTTTGAGGGTTAGCTCTTGGGTTAGCTATATTTTAGTTCAGAACAAGAAGGAGTCCTAACCAGCATCAGACTTCCTAAACCCTATGTTCTCATCAGCTCTCCCCGTGTTAGTGTATGATACATGTATATAAGATAGTATATAATATGATCTGATATAATAAGATATATTTGTGATAAGTATATGATCTAACGCAGCCGTGGGCAAACTACGGCCCGCGGGCCGGATCCGGACCGTTTGAAATGAATAAAACTATTGAAATAAAAGACCGTACCCTTTTATGTAATGATGTTTACTTTGAATTTATATTAGTTCACACAAACACTCCATCCATGCTTTTGTTCCGGCCCTCCGGTCCAGTTTAAGAACCCATTGTGGCCCTCGAGTCAAAAAGTTTGCCCACCCCTGATCTAACCAGAGAAGAACACAGAGCCAGCTGTTCATGCCCTCTGCCTATAGTAGTCATTACCAGCAGCTGTCACTCATTGAGACTAAGGTAGATCTCTGCTTTAGGGATTGTGAAATAGGCATGTCAAATATAACATCTCCAAATCCAGACTCCTGAATTTTTCTTTCCCAAACCTGATCTTTCTTTAGTCTTCCCATCTTGGTAAATGGCAACTTTGACTTTTGAGTTGCTCATATGAAAATTCTTGGGGTTATTCTTGGTTCCTCTCTCTTTCTCACACCTCCATAACTAACCATCAGCAATTCATGCCTCTTCACTTTCAAAATAAATGCAGATACAGCTCGTTCTTTCCACTACTCACTCTAGTTAATTCATCAAAATACCTTCTAACTGGTTTCTCTAGTTCATCCCTCCTCTTACTCCCCAGTCAGTTTTCAGCTCAGCAACTGGAATGATCTTTTTGAAACATGAATAAGATCATGTCACGTCTCTGTTTAAAACCTTCTGATGACTGTTCCTCTCACTTAGAATAAAAGCCAAAGTTTTAACGGCAGCCTACAGTGCCCTCAATGATTTGATGCTACCTACACCCTCTTAACTACCTGACCTCAGCTCCTACTGCTCTGCATACCCAACATACTATAGTCACATTTGCATCCTTGCTGTTCCTCAAAGATGCCTAAGAATCTTTGCACTTGCTTTCTTCTTAACCTGGGACAAACACTCTGTCCCCAGATAGCTGTGTGGCTCTCTCACTCCGTTTTAAATGCCACCTTGTTAGAGAGGTCTTCCCTAGTTACTCAGTATAAGATGTTACCCACCTTTCTTTTTCTTTTATTCTGCTTTATTCTTCATGGCTGGGGAAAAATAACATCTCTTGAATATCTAGTGTGTATCAGCCCCTGGCCTAGGTATTTCATTAAGTCCTCACAATAAGCCTACCAAATAAGTGCTAGTACCTTCTTTTTTTTCTTTTTTCTTTTTTTTTTTTAAAGAGGTGACTGAAGCTCAAGAGAAGAGTGGAAAATGATGAACTCATGGATTATCTCCATGCCTCTCCTGGAAGATTAGTATAGATGTGTCAGAGAGAGTCCTTAGGAACTTGACCTTTTAGAAATCTGAAAATGGTAGACATTTTCTCCAATTTCTTGTGTTCACTCCCAAGAAATGTAAAATATCTCAAGGACTCTTCAGTAACAGCAACATGAGCAATGTCATTGCTGGTCAAAATTAATCACAAGTTTGGTCTGGCCTTGATGCTCATTCAACAGATAATTACTGAACATGCCTACATTACACTGTCTTACACATACAAAATGAAAGATCCAGATATATAAGGCAGAGATCCTCCTAGTTTGGGAGGCAGTTTGTGACAAATACAACCATATGAGAAGGAACATAAGTTAATTTGAACCTATAATTAAGGATGAACTCTTGAAATTTTATTGAGCTTATAGTATCTCAAGACTTTGCTTAAGGAGTACTGATTTGGCATTAACATGTTGTTGTATTTCCAAGCATGTTCTATGGCACTCCAGTTTTGTAAGTTCTTAATTGTTGGCTGAATGATCCTGTAAGTTAGGGTAAATAAAGCAGTGTTAAACAGGACTCATTGCTACAAGACTTCTTGGAGCTTTTTAATATAGCATACATTGTGAGAAGGATAGCCTTTGCAGTCGTTTCCAAACTTGCTTCACTCTTAATCTTTTTGATTTACTAAGCACCTTCAAGGATTAGTGTTCTGTCTAAAATAAGAAAATCTTAGTAGAAAACCCAGATATGAGATAAGCAAGCAGTGAGAAAACAGGTTGCTATTGGGATTATCCAGAAGTAAGGAAAGGAGTACATATTAGGCTAAAAGCAATAGAGTGGAGCTGGTTACATTTTGAGAGAAACATCACATTGCAGATTTGAAACCAATTAGAGCCAACTAGGGGGAAGAAAATGATCTTAAATTCATTGAGGGCTGCTAGGCACCCAATTCCAGAGGTTAAGTAGCACATTCAAGATCATATGGCTAGTAAGGAAGTCTAGATTAGAACCCTTATTGGTATCACTTTAAAACCTTATGTTTTGATGAATGATTTGATGTCTAGGATTTGCTTCAGAATAATCTGTGGAGGGGGCTAGATAGGAATATTAATGAAAAAAGGTCAGATACTGATTATTACTAAATATCAATCATTATTATTGATAACATATTGATCATTATTACTAAATCAGAGTAATGGGTACATGATATCATTATATTCTACTTTTGTATATGTATGAGTTGTCCATAATAACAAGTTTTAAAAGAAGTAATAAATAGCCATCCTGAAAGCAAAACAAGTAAAACTCATGTCTTCCTGCCATATTATACTAGTAGTGCTGAAGTGACTGAAAAGTAATCAAACCACCTATAGTAATAAAAGCATAATATGCTAATTAGACTGGACGTCCTTCTGGACAACCTTCCGGACGAAGCCAGGGCTGCGAGGGAAGCCCGGGTCCCGGCGCCTGCCAGTGGCCAGAGGGAAGCCTGGGTCCCAGGGGCCAGAGGGAAGCTGGTGCTGGCAGCCGGGGGAAGGAAGACCTACTCTTGCACGAATTTGTGCATCGGGCCTCTAGTAATAATAATAAAGTTAAGCTATTGCAATCACTAATCATGTTCTAGGCACAGTGCTAATCTATTTACATGCATTTCTCATGGAAACCCCAACAACCCTATATGCCAGTGGTTCTCAACCATCCTAATGCCGCGACCCTTTAATACAGTTCTTCATGTTGTGGTGACCCCCAATTTCATTGTTACAAATTGAACATAATTAAAGGATAGTGATTAATCACAAAAACAA